AAGAATCAGATTCAGGGTAGAATCTTCTAGTACGGCCCTAAACCCGGCCGCTCAGGTATCCACCAAATGAGCTTCATTTGTAAATCTCGTCAAAATGCGATCTTGTGTTTGATATGCTAACCAGCATGCTTGTTCCCTGTGTTTCTAATTATTATAATTGTAAATGAAACAAAATCCTTACTTTCTGATTCAAATGGAACTTAAATGCTGAGGAAACGAAAGAGAAATTGAATTCGTGGATGAAAAGACAGGGTTTTGGATGAAGTGCGTATACCGATTTATTCTTCTTCATGGATTTCCTACACTGTGTTGCATGGACGTATCCATCATTAAGGTGCAGTTTGCTTGTAAGCAACTGTTGGGAGCGAGGGAACGCCCACACCGCTGCGGAAGCTAAATCAATTCCGAGATAAAACAACTCTAGCTTAAGTTTACACCAAACTCAAACCAACCAATACAAGCAATAACGAATGCATAGATAAAACAATAAATAAATAAAATAAAATAACAGATTTACGTAATTCGGCAAACTTGCATTCGTCCACGGGAGCCACAGAAATAATTTCTTATTTAACCACAAGAAATTACAAATCTTACAAAAGAGAAGATCTCAAACTTGAGATCTCTCAATTAAAAATCGATTACTATAGAACTGCTACAGTACCACGTATGATTTATTCAACTGAATAAATCACCACTCAATCTCTTCTCAAATCACCGCTCACTGTAGCGAATTTTTCTTGACCTAAAAAAACACTTCTCAAAACACCCTGAGAATGGCAAACCGTCGCTACAGGAACTTCTCCTCTTAAATCGCAGGCTCAAAGAAATCGTGAATAGGGTTTCCCTTTTATAAGAAAACCCTAGGGCAAACTCCAGCTGGAGCCAGCTGGTTCCCATCCACGCGCAGGCGACAAAACAAGCGAGCTTCCTAGCTCGCATCTCGCCCACAGGTGAGCTCCGTGCCCGAGCTCCCTCGCCTCGCCTCCTAGCTCGCACCTCGTCTGCAGGCGAGACCCTCCTGCTCCGTAGGCGAGCTTCATCGCCTCTCCACGCTGGCGAATTAGGCGAGCTCCGCACCCGAGCTCCCTCGTCTCAACGCACAGACGAACTCCCTCGCCTATCCAGCTCATGCCCAAGCTCCTCTCCTCCACGCCCTCGCCTACAGGCGAGCTCGATCTCGTGTGCGTTTTCTTCAATTTTTATTCTTCACCTCGTACATTATTTGATAAACCTCAAATCTTGTACGAACACTAGAAGAACACCGTAAACGCTAGCTTGGCCAAACCAGACCAAAACTAGCTACACCATTATACTATGGTTGCCTACGTAAGCTCCGAACGGGATCAAGCTAATCGTAGTTCTGCACATTGCCCTCTTGGGCAGATCAACACGGACTGATATTAAGCAAGTCAAAGTAATGCTAAAACTTGCTACTTGTCACCATATTGGTCAATATGTCTGATGGGTTCTCAATTGTGTGCACCTTCATGAGAGAAATATCACCTTCCTCTATGACATCCCGCACAAAATGATACCTAACGTCGATATGCTTGGTACGAGCATGATGAACTTGATTCTTAGCCAAATGAATTGCACTCTGATTATCGCACCACAAGTTTACATAATCCCGCTCAATCCCTAAATCATTTAGCAGACCCCACAACCACAGTGCTTCCTTCACTCTCTCTGCCATGGCCATGTACTCAGTCGCTGTAGTAGAAAGTGTCATTACATCATGTAACATCGATCGCCAACTAACTGGAACACCATGTATACTGAATACATAACCAGTAGTAGATCGTCGTCTGTCTAGATTGCCCGCATAATCTGAATCCATAAACCCATTAATCTGATATGTATCTCCACCAAAACACAGACTCATTTTAGCGGTACCATTCAAGTACCTCAAGACCCATTTCACCACTTCCCAATGTGCATTTTCCGGATTCGCCATGAACCTACTGACAACATTAACCTCAGGACCTATTTCACAACTTTCCAATGTGCCTTTCCCGGATTTGCCATGAACCTACTGATAATACTGACCGCCTGTGAAATATCTGGACGTATACACACCATTGCGTATATTAAATTGCCAACTGCACTAGCATAAGGTACACGCCCCATGTGTGCCTCCTCTTTCGCGGTAGTGGAAGATTGTTTACCTGAGAGTCTGAAGTGTAGAACTAATGGAATCACCACCGACTTAGCACTTTGCATCTCAAACCTTACGATAACCCGCCCAATGTATCCTTTCTGACTCAAGAACAATCTCTGATTTGCCCGCTCTCTTCTAATCTCTATTCCTAGTATTTTCTTAGCAGCGCTCATGTCCTTCATCTCGAACTCTTTAACAAGTTGAGATTTTAGCCTATCTATCTCCACATTGCTTCTCGAAGTAATAAGCATGTCATCCACATACAAAAGAATATAGATATAATCACCTCCACGAAGCTTCCGAATATAGACACAGTAGTCATAATCGCTTCTGGAGAACCCATGCTTTAGCATAAAGGAGTCAAATCACTTGTACCACTGTCGAGAAAATTGTTTCAATTCATAAAGTGATTTCCATAAGCGACATACCTGATGCTCCTTATCCTTAACCTTGTAACCCTACAGTTGATGCATATAGATTTCCTCATCCAAGTCTTCGTGCAAGAAGATCGTTTTGATATCGAGTTGTTCCAGCTCAAGATCATCATGAGCAACAATACTCAATAGCACCCGAATAGAAGTGTGTTTCACCACCGGAAAAAAGATCTCATTGTAATCCAAACCCTTTCTTTGTGCAAACCCCTTAGCCACTAGTCTAGTCTTGTACCTTATACCGTCGAGTTCGAAAGGATCCTCCTTTCTCTTATACATTCACTTACAACCAATAGCTTTCTTCCCTACGGGTAATAGGACCACCTCCCATGTTTGGTTCTTCCGGAGAGATTTCATCTCTTCCTCCATCCTAGTCAACCAACTCTCACTATCCCTGTCCTAAATAGCTTCTTTCAAGGTGACCGGCTCATCATCCTCCACCGAGAGTGCGTACTCAATCAAATTTACCTGTTCATAGTGTTTCAGAGGTTGATCTGACCCCAGCTTCTGAACCTACTTGTATGTTCGTCTTGGCCTAATGGAAGCTAAACTATCTTCAGGTTGTTATTGTTATAATACTTGTACATTTTCTTGCTGAACCTCCTCCTGTTCAAGCTCATCATCTTCATGATCCTCCTCTTGAACATGACTAGAACATGGTTGGTCTTTAGGTTCTATTTCAATCACCTGAGACTTTAAAGTCCCAACACCACCGTTCTTGGATGTCCTGACAATCATGGATTTCTTATCAAATGTAACATTTCTACTGGTCACGAACTTAGAATCTTCTGTTCACCAAAGACGATAGCCTTTTACGCCATTTGCATACCCCAAGAATATTGCCTTCTTGGCCCTCGCGTTAAGCTTTTCCTCGTTGACGTGATAATAGGCGGTACATACGAAAATCCTAATCCTATCATAATCTGTATGCTCTCCTGACAATACCTGATAGGGTACATCACCATCCAATGTCGAACGTAGAGAACAGTTCACTATGTAACAAGCTGTAGCAACCACTTCTGCCCACCATTCTTTGCTCAAACCAGTATATGATTGCATACTCATTGCTTTCTCCCGTAATGTATGGTTCGGTCTCTCTGCAACTCTATTCTGGTGTAGTATGGACCTGACTGTCTAGTGTCGAGCAATACCCTCCTGATCACAAAACTCCTAGAAAACACCCTCTGTATATTTTGTACTATTATCAGATCTCAGTGTCTTTAATTTCTTGCATGTCTTATTATAAACCATTACTTTTCACTTCTTGAATGTCTCGAATACTTCATTCTTATGCTTAAAAAAATAAATCCAAGCATACCTAGAATAATCGTCTATGAACGAGATAAAATACCTGGAACCACCCTTTGAAGTTATCTGAGCCGGACCCCAAACATCTGTATGCACATAGTCTAATATATCTCTGCTCTTGTGCTTGCTTCTCAGAAAATAAACTTTGTGCGCCTTTCCGTACACACAATCCTCGTAAAAATCCATGCAAGGTTTCTTTATGTTCTTCAGAAAACCTTCCTTACCAAACAGATCTAGACCCTTCTCTGACATGTGCGTAAGCCGTCTATGTCATAACCGAGTGTGTTCATATGGATCTCCATCATTTCCATCAGTTCCAACCGTTGCACTTCTGTCACTGTTGTACCCGAGAGAGTATATAGATTACCGTGACGAATACCCTTCATCACTACAAAGGAACCCTGAACAACTTTCTTTACTATGTTCTCTGTAACAATCCTGCAACCACCAGAGTCAAATGCACCAACTGAGATAAGATTCTTCCGCAAGTCGAGAACGTGCCTCATATCTGTTAGGGTTCTGATCACTCCATCATGCATTTTAATTTTTAAATCATCAAGTCCTACCGTTTTACAAGCATGGTTATTTCCCATCAATACGGTTCCGCCATCAATGCTTCTATAGAATACACTTATCAGAGATATCTTCACCACCCGTAATAACATAGCATTATTTATCGCTCCCTTCCTCCGAGACGTAACTCGCCTCTTCCTTACATTCTCTCCTCTTGGTTTTATTGTTTTTTTTTCACCTACTCTCTTGTTAAGACAATTAATCTTAAAATGTCCAAGCTCACCGCATTTGAAACACGACCATCTCGCAAGAGGACTTGATTTCGATCTAGACTTTCCTCCATTGCTTTTTCCTCGCTCATTACCCCTTCCTCTTACAAACAATCATTGTGTTTGTTCCTTATTACCACTAGTAGCCATGTTACTAGTTGTAATTTTTCGAAGATCATCCGTCAGAAGCATCATTCTAGTCTCATCCATCTTGAAATTATCACCTACAAACATCAATATTTGTATCAGGTTCTCATAAAACTTCGGTAAAGAAAGAAGTAGTAAAAGTGCTTGATCATCATCTTCTACTATCACATCAATGTCATTCAAATCCGATATGATTCTATCAAACTTGTTGATGTATTCTCGGATTGACGAACTTCCCTCCTCCTTGTAAGTATACAATTTAGATTTTAAGTAGATCCGATTTGTTGGACTCTTCGTCATGAAGATACTCTCTAACTTTGGTCACACGTCCGCAACCGTTTCCTCTCCATCCACCAAGAAAGCAACATCCCTCTCAAGGCATAGGATAATCGACGCTCGTGTTTCAAGATCTAATTCTTTCCAATCCTCATCTGACATATCTTTGCGTTTTTTTTCTCTTCTCGCTAAAGCCATGTGCAATTTTTGCAAAATTAGCGAATTTTTCATCTGCATCCTCCAATAGAAAAAAGCATTCTTTCCATTGAATTTTTTGATCTCATACTTTCTCACTTTAACTGTTTTACTTGTAGATATCATTCTCTATTTGTATTAATAAATCCGCTTCTCTCAAGAATTTTAACAATAATCAAGCACCACCTCAGATCAGAAGTTCTACCACCACCAATCTGATTAAAGGGCTCTGATACCAATTGTTAGGAGCGAGGGAATACCCACATCGCTATGGAAGCTAAATTAATTCCCAGAGAAAACAACTCTAGCTTAAGTTTACGCCAAACTCAAACCAACCAATACAAGCAATAACGAATACACAGATAAAACAATAAGTAAATAAGACGAAACAACAGATTTACGTAGTTCGGCAAACTTACCTACGTCCACGGGAGTCACACAAATAATTTCTTATTTATTCACAAAAAATTACAAAGCTTGCAAAAGAGAAGATCTCAAACTTGAGATCTCTCAATTGAAAATCGATTACTGTAGAATTGCTACAGTACCACGTGTGATTTATTCAACTGAATAAATCACCACTCAATCTCTTCTCAAATCACCGCTCACTGTAGCGAATTTTTCTTGACAAAAAAATCACTTCTCAAAACACCCTAAGAATGGCAACCGCCGCTATAAGAACTTCTCTTCTTAAATTGCAAGAGCGCTCAAAGAAATCGTGAATAGGGTTTCCCTTTTATAGGGAAACCCTAGGGCAAACTCCAGCTGGAGCCAGCTGGTTCCCATCCACGCGCAGGCGACAAAACAGGCGAGCCTCCTCGCTCGCATCTCGCCCATAGGCGAGCTCCGCACCCGAGCTCCCTCGCCTCGCCTCCTAGCCCGCACCTCGCCTGCAGGCAAGATCCTCTGGCTCCGTAGGTGAGCTTCATCACCTCTCCACGCTAGCGAATTAGGCGAGCTCCACACCCGAGCTCCCTCTCCTTAGCGCACAGACGAACTCCCTCGCCTGTCCAGCCCGCGTCCAAGCTCCGCCCAAGCTCCTCGTCTCTACGCCCTCGCCTGTAGGCGAGCTCGATCTCATGTGCGTTTTCTTCAGTAACTATGATTATATATGAAGAACATTGCATAATAAGTTTTCTCAAGCATTGCAAATAATACAACTGTCTAGTCAGTGGTGGAGCCACAAATTCATAATAGAGGTGTCATGGTATATATAGAAAGACGATACTACTAAGTTTTCTCTCACATTCAATACAATAAGGAATCCTAATAAGAACTAAAAGATATTTAACTAAATGCAATTACAATATACCCTACGAGTCTTCATATTTTGAAGCCATTGCATAATAGCCACATTCGCAATATCACTAAATACATCTTTTCCAATGTAACCTTATGTATCTCTTTTTATTTTTTATCTTTTTTCCAAAATTGATGTTAGCTCTTTGATATGTGATGAATTGGGCCATTTTCAGTTAATGGGTTTTAAGGTTATTTTTTTCAGGTTTGACCCATTAGATGTTATATATATGTACGTATGTGTGTATGTGTGTATCTGTATGTGTGTGTGTGAGTATGTATATATATACACACACACAGGCACACGCGTGCACGCATACACACACATACATATATATGTGTGCGAGAGAGCGCTCGCGCGTGTGTATGTACATATGTATGTATGTACGTATCTGAGGAGTGTCCAAAGAGTGTTGGTGTCCAGTACAGGTATGATACATGGCAGAAGTGTCCAAGGAGTGTTGGTGTTCGGTTCGTGCCGGGAATGGGTACAACTTTATGATAGAAGTACCAAACATAGCATGTTAACCAAACTGCCTCTTGGACATATATTGTGGAAGAAATATAATATAGAATTTGCCTTCTGTGGTCGTGTTTTTTGTGCAATGTAGTTCTTATATCTTCTCGTATGATTGCAAGTGTGCATCTATACAACTCAAGTGGTACTTTTTATTTTTGTGCTCGATTGATCTTTCTTGCCGAAGCTTGAATAGTCTTAGGACTTTGTGTCAATCTCTGTCTAATTAATGCTAAAATCAACCTTCTAAATTCTAATTTATTATTCTATTAATGGAGCTAGAACCACAGCCCACACAAGGGCAAAGTTCAGCATGACATTAAACGTCATATTAGGCCATTCCTTTTGGGTTGGCACTAAAAGGGTATTAATCTGGAGTGGTAAGATCTATTTTGTTTTTTGTACGCGTGCCCCTTTTTTGCTTGTTTACTGTTGTGCCTTTATTTGAATTTTCTATTTGCTTAGTTTCTAATACTATTCACTCCTGATACTGTTGTTACTGTGCTCAAAGAAAGAATCTGTTTCTGCAGGTTGCATTCAAAACTGGTGACTTCAATCAGCAAGTATTTTTTGCTGCCGGGTTGAAGGAAGGATTCTTGGCTACTGAGTATGTTGAAGTTCTCTAAGTTATGGATACCTCTATTTTTCGTTAGATAACTGTTTCCATGCATCCTTTTATCCTTGATAATTAAGGATGTGTATGCACTCTGAAAAAGTTAGTTAGCATTTGTAGTTTATCTCTTTAAATTCATAGGTTCCAATACCCAGTATCTGAAACGAAGTATGCAACTTCTTTATGGTTTTCTTTTCTTTACGTGTCAAGAGTAACTTCTATCCCACTTTTAGTTGTCAGATGCATGAATTTTTCACTTTCGGACCTATTATGGGCCATCTCTCGATTAAACATTTCTATCATGGTTCTTTTCTTTCTGTAAATTTGTACTAATAAACCAACAGTGTCTCGTGTGTTTTTATTTTTTTACTCGAGTTTTTTTTTCTTTCTTGCCAGCAATATCTCATGTATTTTATTTTCTTACTTGATTTGCAGGTATTTGGGACCTCTATCAGTGGCACTGGAGAAAGAAAATTGGTCTCTGGTTCAGCCTTTGTTGTCCTCTTCATACACTGGATATGGCACCTCCAGCTTGGAGCAAGTACTCTCTTGAAACTTTCAGTAGATTCTACTAAAATCATTTTTCAAACCTGTCATTGCCGCATTTGCTCGAATATTTCTAGTGTTTGATTTTAACATAAACATTATTTCATGCAAATTCATGATCTATTCATGTCCTTCTCTTGCTACAATTTTTGCTGATTTCCTCTTTTTTTCTTTAAAACATCCAAGATTTTAAGGTTTCTTTTTTTTTTAATTTATATCCAAAGTGCCTCATTCTCATTTCACCATGTGTCTTCTCCACAGATATATTGTTTTTTTTTTATAAACCTTCAGTTTTCATTTGCGTCCCATTATCACTTCTTATCTTGTGTTTTATGAAGGATTCATCAGAACTTGAAGAACTTATCGATTATTTAGTAACAACGGAAAAATCAGAAGGTGTTGTACTGCTTGGACACAGTACTGGTTGCCGGGTGTGTAATAAATTATGGATACATGGAACAATTAGCATAACCATTTTAAGCATCCTAACTTTCGTTATTGCTTGGTAGAATATAGTTCATTATATGGGCACAGAGGTTGCACGCTCTAGAGCAGTTTGGGGAGTGATTTTGCAGGTATTTCTTTAGGGCCCATTTTGATAGCCATAAATTTCATGAATGTCCTAATAATTTGGAGAAAATCTCTTTGCCAAGTAAAATTGCAGGTTTTACAAAATCAAATTTTATCAAAATACCTCGATATTTAACTTTCTAATTAGGAAAGAAACTTCTTGTTTATGTGTCTGAACTCTCGAAATCATAAATTTCTTTGGCAAGTAAAATTGCAGGATTTACAAAGTCAAATCTTATCAAAATATCACGATGATATTAAGCCTTCTAATCAGGACAGAAACCTCTCTTTTATGTCAGAACACTAGAAATCGTGCAATCAAAGTTTATGATTTTGAGAACATGCTTCCAGACAGATTCTAGTGTGCCTTTCTTCCCCTAGTGCGCCTGCTATATTTTAAGCTCTTGCTTATATTTGACAATGACTAATAACTTATGTTACCGGTTTCATGAGTTATTTATCAATGAAGGTTTTGTTACACATTACTGCATTTCATGCTTATTTTTTAATACAAATTACTAGATCAGTACTATGTTTTTTTCGGAGGGTAGGATACACGTACATTTTATGTGCTGGATAACCCCATACATTATTTGGATTCAAAATGTTTTGCAATAAATCCTGCATACACACAATAACCATATACCATGTTAAAGTAAGAGAGAGAGAATCTTGGGTAAATTTCTCTTGAGTTGAATATTGAGTGTGCACATATATTTATACAAGAATGATACTTGGAAGACTACGTTTAAGACCAAGCAGGGCTTGTTCGAGTGGTTGGTGATGCCGTTTGGATTGTGCAACGCTCCGGCTACCTTTATGAGACTTATGAACGATTTGTTGCAACTATTTATAGAGGATTTTGTGATAGTTTACCTCGATGATATCTTGGTGTACAGCAGGACATAGGAGGAACATCTTGTTCATGTCGAGAAGGTGTATGAAGTGCTGCAGAACGGACAGCTGAAGCTTAACTGGAAGAAGTGCGAATTTGGGAAGGACGAGTTGGTGTATCTCGGGTTCATCGTGGGGAAAGGCCAGCGGAGGATAGATCCAAGCAAGATGGCGGTGATCACGAAGTGGCCGACACCTAGGACAGTGACGGAGGTGAGAAGCTTCATGGGGCTTGCCAGTATTTACGCAAGTTCATTCAACATTTTTCGACTTATGCGGCACCATTGCATGGCCTTACGAAGGCTAAGATTCAGTTCGAGTGGGGAAATACGCATAAGGATGCTTTTCAGTTGCTAAAGAGAAAGATCTCGGAGGCACCGATGTTGGCATTACCGAATCTACAGCGGACCTTTGAGGTAGAGATTGACGTATCTAGTTATGCTATGGGCACGATATTGATACAGGATGAGAAGCCGGTGGAATACCATTCTGAGATGTTTACGGGTGATATTCAGAACTACCCAACCTATGACAAGGAGTTTTATGCCCTTTATCAGGCAATTAAGCATTAGCGGGTATACTTGTTGGGTAAAGAGGTGGTTGTGCATTTAGACCACAAACCATTAGAGTTCTTACATGCCCAGACGAAGCTACAGCAGACACGACACATGAAGTGGATGTCCTATTTGATGGCGTTCAATATCATCATTAGGTACAAGAAGGGAACGACGAACAAGTTAGCCGATATGTTATCTCGCCCACCCGTGAGAGCTCTCTTGGTGGCGACGCGCATTCAGCCATTGGTTCCTTTGGAGTATGTACAGATGTACACATCCAGCCATGATTTCAGCAGCGTATTCGAGCATGCGAAGGCTAGTCGAAAGGGGGAGTATGAGATTGGTGTAGATGGTTTGTTGTATCGTGGGATATCACTATGTATTCCGGAGGATGGTGACAGGCTGTAGTGGATTAGAGAAGCACATACCTCGTGTGTGCAAGGATATTTTAGGATTCACAAGACGCTTCTCAATCGACGATGACATGTGTTTTGGCCAAAAATGCTAGATGATGTTACCAAGTATGTTAGAGGGTGTAAGTTATGTTGCATTTCAAAGCCTTCTAACAAGAAGAGATGATTGTACCTACCATTACCGGTACTTTCTAGGCCGTGGGAGAGCATCTCTAAGGATTTTCTAGGAGGGTTGCCGACAACCAAGCGCGGGTGTGACTATTTGTATGTTGTGGTGGACCGATTCAGCAAGATGGTGATCTTGACTCCATGTAAGAAGACCATGACTGGAGCGGGTGCAGCGCAATTATTCTTTGAGTATGTGTGGAAGCACTTTGGGTTGCCGAGTTCGATTATTTCGGATCGGGATAGCCGGTTTCTCGGGCATTTTTAGGATTCTTTGTGGAGTTTGATGGACACGAGACTGAAGAAGAGCATGCCCTTTCATCCACAAACAGACGGGAAAACGGAGGTGGTCAACCAAACTATGGTGCACATGTTAAGGGGGTATAATTCTAAGGATCCCAAGACTTGGGATGAGAGCTTACCAAACTTACAGTTTGCTTTCAATCGGGCAATTCATGGATCTTCGGGAAAGTCATCATTTGAAACGTGTTATGGATTCTCACCGCCGAGTCCATTTGATCTCGTGTTTTCCAGTGAAGCTACGGCCGACGACAAGGAAGGGAGTGAGAGACAACGTGCTCAATGATTTCTGGAGAAGATTGCACATATTCATGCTACGGTTGAAGCTTAATTGAAGAAATCACAAGCCAAGTATAAGGCGAAGCATGATCAGCATCGGGTTCCTTATAACTTTGGCATATGTGACATGGTATGGCTGAAATTGAGTAAGGAGAGGCTAAAGGGAGAAGAGAAGAAATTGAAACCTATACGTTATGGTCCGTTTCGGATTCTTGATCAGATTGGTGACAACGCTTTCAGGCTGGATTTGCCACCAATGTCGAGTATTTGAAGTTGTTTGAGCCTACATTGCTGGATGATGAAGGTGACTACAAGGTGATCTTGCCGCATGTTGAAGACTTGTGGTTTGATAGAGAAGAGCCGTTGAAAGAAGATTGCATTTTGGAGCGGAAGACGACCACAACAAGGCGGGGGACGAAGGAGTCGTTTCTCATTGACGTCAAGGTCTGGTTCCTAGTAAGGCTAAGTGGTTCAACAGGGAAGGAGGAGCTCGCGAGTTTCCTCAGCTGAAGTTCTAACTTGAACGAGACTTCAAGTTCCTAAAGGAGGGCCCATGATACGGGTGTATCTTCTCTTCGGAACTTAGCGATCCTCATGGGAGCTTAAGGATAGATGATTCTCATGATAGCTTGAGAATAGAGGTGTAAACAGCATAGTAGAACGCAGGTTGAAGCGTGGAACGGGACGGCGAATCGGAGAATCGAAGCATCTAGTTTTCAGCTCGTGATTCGACTCATAACAGTCATGAGGCGACTCATCAGGTTGAGTCGACTCATGCCTGTCATAAATCGACTAATGAAACTCAGTCGTTTTGTCAAAAGTCTCTAACCAGTCGACTCATCACTGTATGAGTCGACCCATGTGTCATGAGTCGACTCACGAAGCCCAGCAGATGTTGACATAGTTTCTAATCAGTCGACTCATGATTGTCATGAGTCGACCATATGACATGAGTCAACTCATACATGCACGTGAGTCGACTCATCGATGGTTTTCTGGTTCGTTTGGGTTTCTGTTTGCACGAATTCCTGTGGGGTTTGAGCTTGGTTATTTATTACTTTGTCATCCACGTTGTTCCACATATAAAAGAGATTGTTTTAGGGTTTTACAACAATCAGGAGAGATTAGATTGTATTTGAAGAATTGAGAGAGATTGTTCTTCAATTCTAGTGAGATTGTGAGAGATTGTACGTTATTTTATTCTCATATTCTAGAGAATGTATTTTCCTTCGCTACCACTGAATTGTTCTTGTGTTCTTGTTATTTTCTTCTCAACCCACCTTTGATAATTCCACAATCAAAGGTGCTTGTACGGCGACTCGTATCACTTGCCTACGTCCACCGGAAGGGGGGAGGGGGGAGGAGGGATTCTACTATGATGAGAACAACGACGACTTGTACAATCCACAAGCTCGTCCTAAAGATAAAGCTATGATTTTTACCCAAAAGAATTGACCTCTCTCTTATAAAATCTCTCAAAGCTTTATCTTTTTCTCTCATTAAGATCTCATATCTAGATCTCTTTTAGCCGCCCTCAAAACCCTCGTTTTTTTTCTTTTTATGCAGCCGAAGAGCCCTCTGCCTCTGGGATTTTTTTTTTCACCTGCACCAAAAAAATCTAGCCGACATGTTCATATTTATAGTTGAGAACATGTGGGTGGGCCTTCTCTTCGTGGGCCTGCTTTTAGGTTCGTTCACAAGTGCCTTTTTTTGTTTTGAAATTAATCAAATATAGAAGCCTTTCAAAGAGCATATGTGGCTGCAGAGTATTTAATTCGGAATCCCTGCTTTTGGACGCTGATATGCAAATTTAACTTCTTCACTTTGCACCTCGTACTTAAAGATATTTCAAAGATGATTCGGTTTCGTAAATGTAACTTGATACTCCAGCTAATATTTTTATGACATTATATTTAAGATTTTGCTAATGTGTGTCCATGGCACCCGTTAGACAAACCGATTTATATATATATCCCAACATTCCTTATCATTGGTTATTTTTCCAAAAAAAAAGTCAAGCAATGAGCTAGGTTACCCTCTTTAGATTAAAATAAAAACAAAGCACTAGACATGACATCTAATTCATAAGAATTAAATCTAGAACTATTAAAACAACAAAGAAAAAATGAAATACACCAAAGAAATAAAATTACGACACTTGCGTCTTTCAAGGGTTGAAAGTCAAGCACTAAACAAGTCACTTACAAAGAATCCAGAGATAGATCATAAATAAGTAATCTCTCATTTGTGCAATACATATCTACCCAAAATAACGCCATATTGATTATCAGCACTAGAAATAGCATCAAACTCAATGTGTAAAGATGAATATGCCTCACGTTCAACCATCAATCGTGTGAATGCATGTCCCCCCCAAAAAAATTATAATCGGTTTTTACCTCTTGATTTAATTAAGGTGTTACATATATTACAAATGACTGCAAAATTTAAAAAGAAGTGCCAGTTTAATCAGTAATTTGTTCTTTTTTCTTAAAATAAAATTATTTGAATCTCTAAAAATAAACAGTTATGCAATTACTTATTCAGAATTATCATAAAACATATTTAAAAAGGGTAAATTGCACAAAAACCCCTCAGGATTTTGCAAACTTTTGTGGTAAATTGCGGGTAACTTTCAAAATCACTCTCAACCCCTACTATGTTGGAATTGCAGAAGATCCCTAACAAGTTTCTCTATTTTCCAGACAACCCCGTAAATTAGAGCCAAAAGGCAACATGAAAATATGTTTTAAAGGAAAGTTTCAGAAAAAACAAAAAAAAATATTAGGGTTCGAGACCCTAACTTGAATATGAGCAAGAGGAGAACGAATGATAAAATGACAATTGTACATTTGAATGTGCTGTTGAAAATATGAAAACTTTCATTCTTTATTGAACGAGGATAAGTGTAAACTCATTAATTGATATAAAACTTTGACTCGTTCAGATCTCGAAGAATCTTTATTATTTTACTTCTATCAAATAGTAAAAAGAAGCAAAAGTCAATTGCCTTTTTTTTTCTTTTTTGATTTGAATTAATTAAATAGAAGCCTTTCAAAGAGCACGTGTGGCTGCAAAGTATTTAATTCGGAATCCCTGCTTTTGGATACTAATTTGCAAATTTAACTTCTTCACTTTACACCTTGTACTTAAAGATATTTCATAGATGAATCGGTTTCGTAAGCCTATGTAACTTGATAGTCCAGCTAATATTTTCATGATATTGTATTTAGAATTTTTCTAATAAGTGTCCATGGCACCTATTAGAAAACCCGATTTATTTATAACCCAGTATTTCTTATCATGGACTCCTTTCCAAAAAAAAGTAAGGAAAGAGCTAGGTTACGCTCCTTAGATTAAAATAAAAACAAAGCACAGAACATGACATCTAATTCATACAAATCAAGTCTAGAGCTATAAAAACAATAATGAAAAATGAAGAACACCAAAGCAATAAAATTATGACACTTGAGTCTTCCAAAGCTTGAAAGTGTCAAGCACTCAATAAGTCACTTACGGAGAATCCAGAGATGGATCATAGATAAACAATCTCTTTAATCCTCTATTGTCACGAAAATAATACACCCAGAAACAATATGCAACCCATGTTTACTCAAAAAACACCTCGTTGATGAACTTCGTCAGAAAGAGCCTCAAACGCAATGAGTAAAGATGGATATGACTCACGTCCAACTATCAATTGTGCGAATGCATGTGAAAAAATTTACCTCTTGATAGCTAAGGTGTTACATGTATTAGAAATGACTGCAAATTTAAAAAGATGTACTATTTTAATCAGTAATTTGTTCTTTGTTTTGTCTTAAAATGAAATTCTTTGAATCTCTCATAATAACCAGTTATGCAATTAGTTATTCAGGATTATCATAAACATATTTAAAAAGGGTAGAATTACACAAAAAAGCCATCAGGACATTTTAATGTTCTGCGGTAAATCCCTGATAACTTTCAAAACGTTCTAAACCCCTAATATTTTGTAATTGCAGAAAATCCCTAACGAGTTCTATATTTTCTAGACAACCCCATAAATTAGAGCCAAAAAGCAACATAAAAAGATATTTTGAAGAAAAATTTTAGGAAAAAAAATTATTAGGGTTCGGGACCCTAATCTGGATATGAGCAAGAGGAGAACGAACGATAGAATATGAGAAATTTATATTTTTATGGCTGAAAATATAAAAAAAATATCATAAATAAGAGTTTTAATAATTTAAGGAATATTTTAATATTTTTAGGCCACGTGAATTGCATGTGTCTCGTCAAATATAATAGTGTTAACTTTTCAGAATTTTCTGCAAAACTTGCTGCGATTTAAGAGCGATTTTGAAAGTCGATGGCAGTTTGGTGCAAAATGCTGAAAGTTGTTGAAGGTTTTACGTAATCTACCCTTAAAAAGTACTTTCAGAACTACAAAACAATCATGTGGAAGAAACTACCGGACCTACATGAATATTGCAACTATAACGAGTAATGTTTATCGATGGCGAAAGCCAAACACCGTCCTTTGGTTTTATTAATCTCGGATGGATTGAAGCGATAACATTGTAAAAGGTCTCTCTCAATCACCAGCTGGCACCCTCCCCTTTTGTTTCATCCCACTTTGTTTCGTTCTTATCTAAGTCTTTGCAATTTTCTTTTTAGATAGAACGGAAACTAAACAACAATGGAAACAATAATACAAAACTACTCAACGCCAACTGAATCGCCACAAAGAAGGCTAGTTACAGAGGTAGAGAGCATGATCAAGAATCTGAATTGACCGACCAGGTAACTCCAATATTTACATAGTCCAGGGGGTAAAGTGCAAAGATACCGAGGAGAAAGACGAATATATTATCCGAGCTTTTGTCCCGTTAGCGCTTGCTCCAAAGCGCCCGTTACGTGGATCTTCGATCCCGTACGGCAACAACCTCTCTTCTCTCTCAAAAAAAAAAAGAAAAATAAAGAAAAATAAGAACTTATACATAAAAAAAGACCAAAGCGGAGGAGCAAGAAACTAAATTTAAATCAAAGATCCATCTTTTTCCTACAATTTCGAAAAAAGATGCAGGCTTTGAGCGCCCTGACTCTAGCTCGGGTGCTGACGGCGGCGAGAGGCGGCGACGTCGTCGCCGGCGAGGACATCTCGTTGGGATCCATGTGGTGGTGTATTTACGCAGGGACCTCCTGCTTCTTGGTTCTGTTCGCCGGTATAATGTCGGGACTAACCCTAGGCTTGATGTCGCTGGGCCTCGTCGAGCTCGAGATCCTCCAGCGAAGTGGGACCCCAACCGAGAAGAAGCAGGCCGGTGAGAATTCAACTCTCTAGTCTCTTAATTTTTGAAGTTTAGCGATAGTGGATTCTTTGGAGTTTGATTGATTGCTTTTTGGTTTCTTGGGATGTTGTAGTAGTAATAATTCAGATGAAACTTAGAATTTGGTTGTAGTTTGCGTTAACGTTGAAGTTGATGAGTCAAAACCTGGACTCGCGCAACAATATATGTATATATATATATTAAAATTTATAGTCTTGACATTCTGACCAAGAGTTCTGTCTTTTGGGTTCAGAGTGTGCATAGAGGATCCTCATGATGCACATGACTAACGGCATGTTAACTTAATATCTCATTTCATATTTCAAGCTTTTCCAGAACAATTTGAATAAACTGACTTGATTTTTATTGTTGTTGTTAATATTGCACGGATTCTTGGAATAACCATGAATTAAGGGTTTAAATGCTCAGTTGAATATGGGCATCAATAAGCAGCAATCAGAAATTATTTCGTTGACACACCGGTTCAGGTCCTACCTGTTGTATATCAAAATTTTAGTATGTAAAAGGTTAGATTCTTATGCTGTTTCTTTTGTTCCCGATTCTTCGCCTTTTTGACCCTATATCTTCATCTCATAAGATTCCGCGTCAAATCCTTAATCACGTAAAAATATTCTTGTATGTGTCGGTGCAAATGGACAAATACGGGGTCCTCTACCGTGTTGTTGCAGCACATATATCTTTAACTGATGCTACACTACAATCTCAACCTATCAGCTAAGAACTATGGACAAACAAGGGATACATGTACTAGGAGCATCTAACACAGGTGTGGTATGTGTGTCGTAAAAGTTATTTAAATTTGTGAACACATATACAAACAGCTATGTGGCTAGAGAGGTAAGAAAATCCTTAAAAATTATTGTATTGATATGCTTTGGATGTAAGCGTAATGAAATTGTGATTTGCTGGTAGTCAGCTTTGTGACAAATTATATGAATTCAATACATTTGCAAATCAAATAAATTGTGAACTCATCGTTCATATAATTGGTTTTAACTTTGTCGGGTACATCTTTGATATTTCTTAGATACATTTAGGATGTATTGCATCTATTAGGATACATTACCAAGAGTATCAACACGTAGCAAGCAAGTAGCAGGGTGTCCAAGTATCTGCTGTGTATCCATGTGGTATCTCCTCTTTGAAGTGTTGACGCTACCTAGATACTTAGAGTTAACCCAATGTGTAAACTGCTGTTTGGTTACTTGTGCTCCCCTAATTTTGTTTCTTCTTTTTCCCCCTCTTTTACAGCTCACATCCTTCCTGTAGTTCAAAAGCAACACCAACTTCTGGTGACTTTATTGTTGTGTAATGCTGTTGCCATGGAGGTAACCATTTAGTTCTACTTCCACTTGCAATTCTTTGTACAGGTGAATGAACATTCTTCTACACATGAAACCGCATAATTTTTTATGCACAGTTGGATTCTAATCACATGTCAGAGTGCATGCCGCAATCCACCTTGTAATTCTCTTGCTTATTAAAATAGGATCAAATTCCTTTAGATGATAATGGAAAGTTATGTCCAGAAAGAGGCTGCCAAGGCTCTTAACTGAGGCTCTAAACACCTCATACCAGCATGTCACTTGCTCTTCCAAGGTTGTAATTCTCTTGCTGTTCCTAGAGTTATAATCTTTGTAGTTGTGGTATCCCATTTGTGTAGTAGAGCAGTATTTAATAGTAATGATTGAAGCAATTTAAATAATAACAAACGGAGAACCATGTGACAGGAAAGAACTTAAAGAAGGAAGAAATTAATAAGGCTAAACAAAAGTAAGAATATAAACATGTGTTCAGGATGTGGTCTGTAACAAGAACAATAACACGTGAGTGCAAAACCTCACCCTTCAGATATAACTAAGAAAATTTACTTCATGGTAACCATCCTTTTAGCATGATTCCTGTGTGTGCATGAAACATATGGTAAGTTATTTAAAATTTTGGAACTGTTTTATTGATAGTCTCAGGCTATTATATTTTTGTATCAAGCAATTTATATTTTGTGGCAAAAAGAAAACCTGTCCTTTTGTATGGCGTGCTGCATTACTAAGCTTTCTCCATCAAAATTGGATCAAGTGTGAACTGGAAGGCAAGGTCTGTATCGAAATGTGAAACAAATACTATGACCTGATAACTTGACAAAGAGGTCCTCTAATTAGGTGACACATTATTGGTCAAAGGAACAATTGATAATAGAGTTAGAAGAGTTTGCTATAAAATATATATCCTAAAAGGTCAATTTTGTGGTCGAGCTCATTAAGCCAAGAAGCTAGCTTCCAAATTTCTTCTAGATATAAAAGAGTCTAAAAGAAGAGGCAAGATGTTTAGCTTCCCTTGGTTCAATCTACTATATGTTGGTAGATTTTTTTTCTTCTCTTTAACTCTACAAAATTGCAAACTAACCGTACACTGGACTAATTATTTTATCGATGCAGGCTCTTCCTATATTCCTTGACAAGATATTTCATCCTATTGTTGCTGTTATTTTATCTGTAACATTTGTTCTGGCTTTTGGGGAGGTATGCTGTTCTCATTTTACCATCTTCAATTTGAAGCTTATGAAATTGTTTAGCCATAATAAAATTATACTAACATAATTTACCTATCCAGGTTATTCCACAGGCTATATGTACTAGATATGGACTGGCTGTGGGTGCTAATTTTGTTTGGCTTGTTCGTATTTTGATGGTTGTTTGCTATCCAATAGCCTATCCTATTGGGAAGGTATGAAAATATTAAACTATCACACTCTCTTACCTTTATCTCATATTAAGGACCTGTGGTTGATGTTAACCTTGTTCAATTGCCTCTATAGCCACTAGTCTTTCTTGGTACTTGGCAACCACCAACTAGTAGTTAATTGCATTACAGTCTGATTGCACAGTTTAAGATTAAGTCACTTGTTCTTATAATCGACCTCGATATACTGCATAAGCGTGCTAATTAACTAAGAACCCCGGAATACTGATCCGAGTCAAGATAATAAAAGATGCAATATATCATTCTAGTTATACTTCTTATTTTTGCATGGTTTTCAATGTATACATATATAAAACATGCATACTTGTCAGAAAAAACATGTGCAAGACTTTCCAAGTACATTATGACCTTAAATAGCAATAGAACCACACTATTTCATCATGCATTTCGAAAAAAGATAAGTAGCTTTATCCTTAAATGCAATTGAAATCTCTTTGATCCTTTCTTGCCATCGTGTATGTTTGGGCTGTTTCAAGTTCATGTGGGTCTGTTGCAAATTTTTTCTCATCCTTTTCCCCATGATTTATCTTCTAATTCGAGGTAGTGTGGCGATATTTTTTTTGTTTGCTTCTTTCCTTTTTCTGCTTACTGTTGATTTCTGGCAAATTTAATGTTTTTCTATCAAATATTAAAAAATTGTGGCGTTCTGGCACCTTAGAGTTTTCTTTTAGCCAACTCTACTGTTTTTTCTTGACACATCAGATTTGACAAATTCTTGATGGATATAATGCCTTTGGTGCAAATGGGGTAGTTTCTTTTAATATTTATTTATTTTCCCCTTTTATTTTTATCATCAATTGACTTAGAAAGAAACACAAAATCTATGATACGTGAATTCTGATCGCCTTCCAGTAGCTGTGTGCATTACCTTATACTACTTTGTAGATGATGGGACATTGGTGATTCATTATCCTACTTTTATACTACTATATAACATGGAAGCAACATTTTCTTATGCGTCTCTGTTTGTGATTTGACCTTAACTTACCATTTAGTGTTCCATATCAAGAATTTGTAACTGGAAAACATGATTACAACTTAGACTTATTATTCATATTTGTTGGCACGTCATATTTTCTAGTTCTAATGGTTGGCTAGCTCTGCAGAAAGTTTGATATTTCTGCTTTTATTTTGCTTTCGATAAAGGCAGTAGCTGAAATAATCTGTAACCTTCTTTTCCTTCCTCCAGCTTCTAGATTTTGCTCTGGGACACAATGAATCTGCACTTTTTAGACGTGCCCAATTAAAAGCTTTGGTGTCTATCCATGGCAAAGAGGTATAAACATTGTGATAGTATCCTTTATTCCATGATTGAGTGATGTGATATTTCGCTCGGAACATATTATTAACCACATTACAGATTCTTTACGATAATTTTTGAATTATTCCATTATTGTTTTGACCATGAAATTTCATTGCTTTTGACATGTTAGGCTGGTAAGGGTGGGGAACTCACCCATGATGAGACAACAATAATAAGTGGCGCACTAGATTTGACAGAAAAGGTATGCTTATGGATGAACTCATAAGAGGTTAATGGTTCTCTTCCTTGGTCCTGATTTTTTAATGTCAGAAACTGATACATAGCAAATTAGATATGGGTCATGGAATGCAATAATTGATCCTTATTTCCTGTGGTAGAAATACATATTCTGTGTCCATTTGCAGCTCCCTCCTTAAGGTAGCGAGGGTGCATCTATGAGAACCATTCATGAGATCTCATTGGTTTCAGTAATCAGTATAGAACATATTCTTGGTTTGTCACGCCCCGAGCCACCGAACCTGTTGGGGTGGTGTAAGCCGTGGGACCCATTGAGTGTAACACGTTGTTTGATTCAATCCACTGTCAAAATTGACTAACCAATGTTGCACTTGAATCCCTTGACTTTACTGTATAAATTCCTCTATTATTTTAAGTAGCCGATGTAAGACTATGATGGGCATTACATGGCTAGACTTTCAAATGTCAAACAATTGCTTGTAAGCAAGTTCTGTAGTATTGAAAAGCAATCAAGCTATTCAATGAGGATTTCTATAACCCCAACAATCACAATGAGGATTTCTTTGTCCTATCTAATAAGCAACCTCTACGTCATGAATCAGAGTGTGCTTGTTTGATACTCTCTTGTACATAGCTCTGTGTTTTGCCTCTTAAAACTGAAATATAAGGAGTCACTACAACAAAAGTTGTATGTGTTCACAATTATTTTAAGTCACATATAAAAGTGTCATTTTATTTGCAAAGGATTAAACAGTAATGACACAAATAAAAAGTGTGGCAAATCACAACACATATTAGTGTCATTAGATATACAATCAAGTATAATTGAAAAAGGCTAATAGTCCAACATGGAGTGTGAGAGGATCTATTGATGGGCCAAAATTATAAATATTAGATTTTAATTATGATGATGATTAAACATTTATGATAACGTATAAGCTAAAAAAAGTCCATAGTTAAGTGTGCTTTGATGAGAGTAATCCTAGGATGGGTGACCTTTTAGGAAGTTATAGTGTTGAATGGTGATACTCTTTATATTTTTATGGTCTAGACACATGACACAACTATGTGTCACCACTCTTGACACATGTATGTGTCATGAGTTTTGTGACACAACTATGTGTCACTACTCTCAATATATGTATGTGTCGTGAGTTTTACGACACATTCTCACATGTGTAGAAAGACGCTCTCCACACGTGCTCTAGCCATAATTTTGGTATGTGTCATGCTCTATTTGTGCGAGACAAAAATGTGTCGTGTAGAGACAAAATATATCATAATTTTAAACTTTTGTTGTAGAGTGAGTGTCTGAAAATATATTCTATTGGTAAGTTTTTGGGAATTCCATAGTTCTTCAGTTCAAATTGCCAGCATCCAGGAGTACTGGAATTTGATCATCATTAATAATGTTAGGATGTATTGGTCATAGATTTTTAAGTTTTTATATGCTCGGTCTTGGGTCATATTCAAATTTTCTGATAGTAGTTAGGCCTAAATTGAATTGTATGGTGACTCAATGCTTGCTTCTTCTCCCAAAAAAAATGCAGCTTATATTTGTTATGTTGTTAAGCTATACATTTATAATCCTAAATCTGCTGCTATGTTCCACAGACTGCTGAGGAAGCCATGACACCTATTGAATCCACATTCTCTTTAGATGTCAATTCAAAACTGGACTGGTGAGTTTCAAAGTTGAATAAGATTGCAGTCCATCTAGTTTCTCGTTCTTTTGGAGTTATACCCACCTTGCATTCAGTTTCTTGTGATTGACTTCTTTTATTGACTGATCGTTTGCTCAAGTTGATACATACCAAAACTTGTTCTACACATTATCGGTGATATGTCCGTCAATTTAGATCAGCTTTAGTATTCTTCTCATGGGGGTTTTCGTATTCATTTATTTTATAATCTACGAGAAAGAATATAAATAACTTTGTTGCCTTTTAGGGAAGCAATTGGCAAAATTCTTGCTCGGGGCCACAGCCGAGTTCCTGTTTATTCAGGAAATCCCAGAAACATTATTGGCCTTCTGCTGGTATATATAAGATATCTACTATTATACTGGAGTAAAATTGGAAACTGATATTATACTGATCTTTGCTTTGTGACATTGCTGGTTGGAACCAGGTAAAAAGTCTTCTCACTGTTCGTGCTGAGACTGAGACACCTGTCAGTGCTGTTTCCATCAGAAGAATTCCAAGGTTTCCCCCTCTTCACTAATTTATTTCATTTCATACCTAGGATCTATGCGTTCAGATCTTGAAATTTTAACAGGGTTCCAGCAGATATGCCTTTGTACGATATACTCAACGAATTTCAAAAAGGGAGCAGTCATATGGCTGCTGTAGTAAAGGCTAAAAATGCAGGGGAAAACATCCCACCTGTGAATAGGGGAAAATTTGAAGGCAACAAGGAAGATAATGGGGACTCCACATTGACAACAAATTTGCTCTGTACAGAACAAAAAATATCAGACAGCGTAACTGTTGACATTGAGAACCAGAAAATTCAGGTTAAGGGATATAAGCCAGCCTCTTTGCTGCGGACATCCCATGTAGTTGGCCATGTATCAGAGGATATTGAAGATGGTCAGGTCATTGGTATTATCACACTTGAAGATGTATTTGAAGAACTCCTTCAAGTAAGTACCTTGTGCTCCACGCGGTGCTTCCAGTATCATTCTGTCTATTATCTATTCTTAAGTTTTGTTATGCTTTCTGTCGACTATTGGTTAGTCTTACTTTTTAGATTCCAGACGAGATGTTTGAAGGGAAATATTAAGTAGACATGGTGTTGCAGATCTTTGTGAATTGTGAAAAATAAGACGTAGAAATACTGATGGAGCAATTGTACTTAATATTTATCAATTCAACTAAATGATAATGGTTTATTTATTTATTTATTTATTTATTTGGTTTCTTTCGCCAGTGAGCACTCGTAATGTACTGAATGACTTATGAACCACTCCTGTCCTTATCATATGGGTATTTTGCATTATGCGATCACAGAATTTAATTAATATTAATTACTTATGTAAAAAATTCAGAAGACTGCTTAAAAAGGCCACTTTCATACTACTACCTTATCCTCCTCCAATCTTAATATAGTAGAATCTACATTGTCAATGCATGTATGGTGTCGTATGGCTCCTGTACTAAGGTTAAAGAATTTCTGAAACATGGAATGCTAAAAATGCCTGTGTCTATTTACAGGAAGAAATAGTGGACGAGACTGATGAATACGTTGATGTCCACAGAAGGTTTTGTCACTGAACTAAAAGTTTATTTATTATTCTAGTGTCTGTTTCTAGCTTCCCAACTAACTAGCTTTTGTTCAGGATACGTGTCGTTGCTGCAGCTGCTGCATCTTCGGTTGCACGCGCCCCATCTCTTAGGCGATTGACTGGTTCAAAATCCATCGTAAGAGACTGTCATCTTTCTCAGAGCATTCATTGGCATTTTATATGCATGCATATACATTTATACATACATACAATGGAAAAGAAAGAGAGATGATGTGACAGCTTATTTTGCCATAAGTAAGCTATCAAGAGAAAGACTAGTTGTGAGGTCGACCTGCTAGTCGCATTTGAGATACTAGGTTTGAGCTGCTAGTTCATTTTCAAAATGAGCTACCAAGATAAAATGATAGTACGCATCCTCAATTGTTGTTTTCTGTGGTTTAAGCTTCTCTTTCTCTTTTTACCAGGGAAGTCAAGATAAGCAAGGTGCACAACCTGCCGGGGTACTGAAGAAAGCTACTGAAGGTGATCTATATACACCACGACATCGTGGAAATCTCACAGAACCTCTACTAGGAAACAAGAAATAAAGGGCAAGCGGAAGCGGCAGTTAAAATCAACACAACTAGTCTCTGAGTCACCATTTATATATTATTTTTTTGTAATTATAGTGAGAAATTGGACATTCCCAAGAGAGAGAGAGAGAGAGAGAGAGAGAGAGAGAGATTGGAATTTATAAGATTGCAGGGGTGCGTATTTGAGATTGGAATTTATAAGATGAATATGTGAAGGAACATTGCTATTGGCGAAACTATCCGCTCGAGAAGATGTGCTACAAAAGATACAAACAAAAGTACAATTAGATGTAAGGGTTTGTATTCTCCGCATAAATACTTTTTAAAGAGTATTGTTATTTTCTAAACAAATAAGCAGTCATACAGCATGTCTTTTGTATTTACACCGTTTAAAACTTAAGGCTTTGTTTGGAATGATGTTGTGTTTTTCTCTTAAAATGTTTTAAAAACACTATGTTAAGTATTTTGGGTCAAACTAGTTTGACCCATTACAACATTAGTATTAAACATATTATTAATATATTATACATTAATTATAATAAAATATATTATAAATAAAATAATATAATATTTTGTTTACATTATTATAGTATTATAAGTATTAAATATAATGCAAAAGAATATTGTGTAATATATTATAATATTATATTGTACTTTAATGAGTTATATTATATTATAATTATTATTATATTATAATTATTACATATTATTTTCAAATAATTATATATTTAATTATTTTGGTATATCAATTTGTTATTGCTTAATTATATTATAAGTAAATGTTATTTATTATTATATAAGATTATTACTATTATTAATGTAATATAGTAGATACTATTATTCATATAATATAATATCATTAAAATGTTATATTATGTTATTACTAGTATGTTATTAATATATATATAATATTTTAATATTATATAATATATTATAGTTTTTAATATGTTAGATTTTATTAATAGTACTTTAATAATATATTAATAATTTATGATATAAATAAAATATATTAATAAGTTTTTAATATGTTAGCAATAAATTATTTTATTATTAAATATATTTTACTTTATAATAAATTATATTATTTATTACTTAATATATTAATATTTTTATATGTTATTTACACTTACTATACAATATATTATTATAATATTATTATTATATTGTTATTGCTATTATTAAATATGTTACTATTATATAATATTTTATAATTATTAATTTATTATAATTTAGTTATTAAAAGTTAATAATATTATAACGATTATACTATTGCATAGTATATTATTATATCATTATTATATTATTATTTATTATCAATAACTTTTTACTTATTTTTATTAGTTTATTTATATTTTATTATTATTTGTTATTATATAATACATTATTAACATATTAAATACTAGTATTTAATATGATACTTATTATTATATAAGATATTTTATTTATTATATTTTTATATTATTTAATAAATATTACTAATATATTAGATTAACTATAATATAGTATAGTATAACATAGTATAATATAATAAGCACGTTGATAATAACTTTATATTAATTACATTTAATATATTATGTTAGATATTATATTAACAACTTCTCAAACTCAAAACTGAAACACTAAACTTAAAACACCTAAAAAGGTATTTTGAAATAAGTGTGGTGTTTTTGCTTTGAGGATAATTTAGCTCAAAAAACACTATGGTTTTCAAGCACATTGTGTTTTGTTTTTGGCAAAAACATCATGGAAACAAGTAAAACACCATAATATCCAAACGAAGCTTAAATTATGAAGCAACAAAATTCATAGAAAATTTTCAAAACATTTCATGTGATTAAATTAGTTTTAAACCCTTTATCTTCAATTTTGAGAAAACCAATCAATTGCTATCGAAAAGGCTTTTTTCTTTTTTCTTTTTTTTTTGTGCCAATAATTAGGTCTTGTGTTCTCCTATCCCCAAAAATTGGGCCTGTTTAGGACCCTTCGTTGCCCTTCACGACAATTAGGTCTTGTGTTCTCCTATCCCCAAAAATTGGGCCTGTTTAGGACCCTTCGTTGCCCTTCACGACTTGTATCCATCTTGGTGTGATTGTCAATTTGTCAACATGTTGTTGGCAATACAAGGCAAGCAAATTTTCTATTAGGATAAGGTAAATAGTTTCTAACGACCTTGGATATTATCTAAAATAAAATTCTTCTAATTAGGGGGTGTTTGGTTGCACAATTTTATAAAAAAAAGTTTTTTCAAAATGTCTGACAATGACAATTCTGTAATTAAATTTTTTTTGTAGATTTCTGTAAAATGTGTTAGTTCAAAAAAATTTACAGAAATATTTTCTGTAAAGTACAATAAAGTATCAAAATTTACAGAAAATAATTTTCTCTCAAAATAGGCGAAAATCACCCAGAAATCTGACACCACATTGATACTTTTCTATAAAATTGACACTTTTCTATAAATTTAGGGGGTGTTTGGTTTAATTTCTACAAATTATAGAAAATCTTGCTATTTTTTATAAAGTTATGGGTCATTTTCTTATTTTGAACCAAACAAGCAAAGTAAAAAAAACAAAAAAAAATTAGTACTTTTTGACTTTTCAAAACTTTTCCTATAATTTTTTAAAGAAATACAAGAAAATCATATTTTGGGTGAAAAACATTTCCTATAATTTGTAGAAATTAAACCAAACACCCCCTTAATGTATAAATCATTTAACCTCCTAGAAAATGTTCCACATCAAATTCCGAGCGATGAATATTTTGAATGGTTATTATATGGTAAGCGTGTAAAAATGAATAGATTATACAAGCATTTTTTTTGGAAGGAAAAATTGCACATATTAACTTTTTTTAATGTTTTCTCCAATAAAGCTTTGATATTAATTTTTCAGAAGACCTACACTTGGTGCGTCAAAATCATACTCTCTTTAAAAACACGAGTTTAGAAAAAGCTTCCCGTGGTCAAAATTACCTTTATGCTATTTTAAATATTTCATTTAAATCTTAATCTATCCTAATCATAGTTATACTCTGCCTAATACCCTGTAAACTATATATATCTCAATACTCTAAAAAAATAAGATTAATAAAATACATCAAACAGCTCCATGGTATCAGTTTGTTAAGATAAAGAAATTATATGTGGCTAACATACTAGAATACATGAAATATTACAAAAAAGAAAAAATATAAAAATTGGACAAAATACCCTTAAAAGTTTAAAATTACACAAAGAGCTCTAACATTTTAAAACTTAAAATAACAAACATGAAATCCGAAAATTAATAATAGCCTCCGAAGAATTTAAAATTTGAACTAGCACCTTCAACGTTTTAAGAATTATGGAAATACCCTAAAAATTTTAAATTATAGAAAAAACACCCTAAAACTCTAAAATTTAAAAACTTGCAAATAGTATAGATGAATTCAAATGATTACCATGAGGCATCTGAAATTTAAAATATTTATAAAAACTAACATCAAAGTTATAAAATTATAAAAACTCCCAGAAAAGTTAAAAATCACAAAAAAAACTTGAAATTTCAAATCTTATAAATAATACACATCAAATCTAAAAATTATCAGCAGACTGCTAAAGATTTAAATTTTGCAAAAAATAACTCAAAGTTTTAATAATTAGAAAAAATGCCCTTAAAATTTCAGAGTTATAAGAAATATCTTTACATTTAAAAACTTGAAAATAGTATAGATGAATTCAAATGATTACCATGAGGCATCTGAAATTTAAAATATTTATAAAAACTAACATCAAAGTTATAAAATTATAAAAACTCCCAAAAAAGTTAAAAATCACAAAAAAAACTTGAAATTTCAAATCTTATAAATAATACACATCAAATCTAAAAATTATCAGCAGACTGCTAAAGATTTAAATTTTGTAAAAAATAACCCAAAGTTTCAATAATTAGAAAAAATGCCCTTAAAATTTCAGAGTTATAAGAAATATGTTTACATTTAAAAACTTACCATCAACATATGAAACTTTAAAATTACAAGCACCAAAACTTAAAATTTTCAATTTTCAAAAAATACTCCCCAAGTTTAAAAAAATGCAAAACACCCCCTCAAAAGTTGAAAATCACAAAAATAACAAACTAAAATTTCAAAACTTGGCAAAGAAAAGAGTAATTGTTTAATATTCTTCATTAAGATATATAAATGTAACTTATAATTTAAGGTTTACTATCCCTTTTCAGAATTTAAAAATAGTCAAGTTGATGCTAGTAAAAAATAGCAATAACAATAACAACAAATCAAAATATCCAGTTAATGAATAAAAAGTTAAAAATATATGACAGATTAAAAATTAACGTTACCGTATAAGTTAAAGTAACTGCATATAATTTTACCAATAAGTTAAAGTAACAAAAATACATAAGTACCGTTAATTAACAGAAGACTAAATTGCAAAAAGATAATAAAAGATTATAATATCCAAACGAAGCTTAAATTATGACGCAACAAAATTCATAGAAAATTTTCAAAACATTTCATGTGATTAAATTAGTTTTAAACCCTTTATCTTCAATTTTGAGAAAACCAATCAATTGCTATAGAAAAGGCTTTTTTCTTTTTTCTTTTTTTTTGGTGCCAACAATTAGGTCTTGTGTTCTCCTATCCCCAAAAATTGGGCCTGTTTAGGACCCTTCGTTGCCCTTCACGACTTGTATCCATCTTGGTGTGATTGTCAATTTGTCAACATGTTGTTGGCAATACAAGGCAAGCAAATTTTCTATTAGGATAAGGTAAATAGTTTCTAACGACCTTGGACATTATCTAAAATAAAATTCTTCTAATTAGGGGGTGTTTGGTTGCACAATTTTATAAAAAAGTTTTTTCAAAATGTCTGACAATGACAATTCTGTAATTAAAAATTTTCTGTAGATTTCTATAAAATGTGTTAGTTCAAAAAAATTTACAGAAATATTTTTTGTAAAGTACAATAAAGTATCAAAATTTACAGAAAATAATTTTCTCTCAAAATGGACGAAAATCACCCAGAAATCTGATACCACATTGACACTTTTCTATAAATTTAGGGGGTGTTTGGTTCAATTTCTACAAATTATAGGAAATCTTGCTATTTTTTTTAAAGTTATGGGTCATTTTCTTATTTTGAACCAAACAAGCAAAGTAAAAAAAAACAAAAAAAATTAGTACTTTTTGACTTCTCAAAACTTCTCCTATAATTTTTTAAAGAAATACAAGGAAATCATATTTTGGGTGAAAAACATTTCCTATAATTTGTAGAAATTAAACCAAACACCCCCTTAATATATAAATCATTTAACCTCCTAGAAAATGTTCCACATCAAATTCCGAGCGATGAATATTTTGAATGGTTATTATATGGTAAGC